ACGATCTTAACGTCCTTACCGGTTCATAGGTGGAGATGCGTTCGGAGAGGTAAGTGGGGCCGGAACCGTGTATATTATAATAGAGACTCAAAGCAGCTATGTATCTACAATAATAATAATATATTAGAGACTCAAAGCAGCTATGCATCTATAATATATATATAGATATTATTTATATATATTATAATATATATTATATTGTAATAATATAATAGAGACTCAAAGCAGCTATGTATCTATAATAATAATATATTATATATATTGTAATATATATATTATATTATAATAATATAATAGACTCAAAGCAGCTATGTATCTATAATATATATATATTATTTATATATATTATAATATATATTATATTGTAATAATATAATAGAGACCCAAAGCAGCTATGTATCTATAATAATAATATATTATATATATTGTAATATATATATTATATTATAATAATATAATAGAGACTCAAAGCAGCTATGTATCTATAATATATATATATATATATTACTTATATATATTATAATATATATTATATTGTAATAATATATTAGAGACTCAAAGCAGCTATATATATATTATTTATATATATATTATAATATAATAGAGACTCAAAGTAGCTATTATCAATAATAATAATAATAATAATAATAATAATAATAATAATAATAATATTTATAGCCCTCTTTTTCTCCACAAAGGAGACTCACAGCAGCTAGGTTTCTTATTATTAGTACTATAATTTATTATTGTTGTTGTTGTATTATATAGTATTATTATATTATTTATGTCCCATTTTTCTCTCTACAAAGGAGACTCAAAGTAGATATGTATCTATTATTAGAATGTATTGTTATAATTTATATTTATATTATTTATTTTATTTCTCGCTCCGCAGGGAAAGGGAAACGGCGGCATTCCGATGGCGAAGCGGGGGAAGAGGAAGAGGAAGGCGAGAGGAAGGCCAAGCAGCCCAAGCAGGAGGCCAGCGCCAAGGAGGTACACAGAGTTCACGGAAAAACGGATATTTTTAGTAATTCGAGAACAGGAAAGGATGCCAAGGGGGCCTCTCAAGATTCAAGATGATTTTTATATTATTATTATTATTATTATTACTATTACTATTATCATAATTATTTTGTAATTGTCAGGTAAGGATGATGATGATATTATTATTATTATTATTATTATTATTATTATTATTATTATTATTATTATTATTTTGGGATTGCCAGTGCAGGATTCCTATCATCACCACCACCATCATCATCGTCATCATTTTGGGATTGCCAGTGCAGAATTCCCCTTGTTGTTGTTGTTGTTGTTGTTGTTGTCAGTATTTTGGGATTGTCATGTCAGGATTATTCTTGTTGTTGATCATGATGTTGTTTTTGTTGTCACTGTTTTGGGATTGTCAGGGAACGATTATTCTTGTTGTTTTT